CATTTGAGGAGATAATCAAAGTTGTATTTATCATCAGCCACAGCCTTGTGGCGGCGGTTCCATGGATCTCTGACTGCTGTCGAAAGAGGGGAGCGTTAGCTGACGTGGCGTAGCCGCCCAGCTCTGATCGCTGCAGTCTGAGGCTGTGCTTGTTGCCTGTGGAGCAGTGGCAGCTTGTTCATAGGGTCACTAGGGCAAAGTCCCACCAGTCTCACAGGAAGAAGAAGACAGGAATCACAAAATATTTTAAAAATACCATGAAAATTAAACTAAGCGATCTATAACTCACACAGACTACAAGTGATGTGTTTAATCTGCATTTAGGTGTGGTTTTAAAATGTTATTTCACACATTTACTACGACTGAATCATCTTGTCAAGTATTTCCTGGTCCTTTTGGGCACAGCAAACTCTACCATGGACCTGCGCTAACTGGCGCATGCACACTGGAGCCCCCTGTCCAATACAAAGAATAGGAGAGCCTTTGGGTGCAGAGGTATAGCGACCAAAAATGGGTGGAGTCTCAGCTTAAATTAGGATGTTCACCCAGAAGATCCCCGCAGTTTATCGCTTGTTGTTTTAGAGCAGCTGAATACACTTCGTGGAGTTTTTTTTATTATGATGAAGAACCTGAAAATGAAGGAATGTGGCATCAGAGACTTGTAAACACTCTCCAACAGGTTAAAAAAGGCACAAGTCAGGAACCAGCTCAGTGTGATGTTGGGACATTGGATTACATGGATCAAGTGTTTTCTTTACTATAACAGCTCATTATGACCAAAACCAGCAAAGGTAAGACTGAATTTATGCGTTTCCCTTCATGAAATTAGCATTTTTTTTTTTTTTTTTGCTGCTGCGTTGCTCCATGACTTTTGCTGGTAAGTAGAGTCGAGTAATGGTACTTATATTGTTGTAAAGAGGAGAGTCTGGGCTTTAATTTAAACAACTGTTTCCGTGGATAGGATCATGTAGCATTGTTGCTACTGTGTTTTTCTTGATATGCGTATGTAGCTTTTTCTGCCTTTTTATTTAGCATCATTGGTGATATGTGCTTAGTGCATCTAACATCTACAGACAGCATAAATGCGCCCCACCTTCGGCCCCACCCCAAAAAAATGTTACCACTGCTGTGGCGATCTTGGAGGGAAACCACAGAAACTCTGCGACTCATTATTTGTCAAAAGGATCAGCTGAGTCGATGCGTGTTTCATGTTAGAGAGTCGCTCTAAAAAAGTGCCCCCAAACCTTCGTTTGCTTCGGCTAGCTCGTAGGTGCGAGCAGTGGCAGACTCAGTTCCTCGGAGTTCTGCACTCAGCTCCACCTCTTCGCTACTTTTTGGATTTACTAGGGGTGACGAGACATGTGCCAAGATGGCGGTGATTGGAATTGCCCATTGGGGCAATTCTGCTCTTCAGAAAGCTACGGGTGACGTCACAGAGGGTTTGTCCAGTATTTAACAGTCTATAATTGCACCTTTAATGAGTCAGACTCCAAATCCTACCATTTTCTGCCCTCACTCCTCCAACTAACTTCCACCACCAATAAATAAATAAATAAACTACCAAGGCATTCATTCATACTAGAGACCACAGCAAATGGTGTGAGATGTTTTTGTTTAGGTGTATTTATTTGGAGATGATGAGTGAATGGGATTCTTGAACCTCTGTTTGGCAAAAACCAAATAGATGGAGATGGACTTTAGAAGGAGAACGTACACCCTTCCCTCATCACCAGAGGAGAAGCCGTGCAGCAGGTGAGAGCAGTTAAATAATCGGGCCCACTTGCAGCCCTTCCTCAACACAGGGTCTGTCCTGGGGTCTCTTCCCAGTGACACATGCTTACCTCTGAGAGGAGAAGCATCCCAATCAGACGCTTGAACCACCTTACGACTCCTTTTGATGAGGAGTTGACAAACTCCTCAACTCATCTTCAAGGTGAGCATGGCCACGCTATGGAGGAAACCAGAGCAACAGGCATCCTGATAAGAGTTATCGCCAAGCATGGTGGCAGCATCGTTGACATAGCTATAATAAAAAAGCATCAGAATGCTAAACATTACGATGTTCTGTTGGCACCTTGCTGGGTCACCGGCGTTTTTGTCATGAAGGAACTGAAATGGTCCCTAAACTCATCTGTGAATGTGGGGCTGATGAAGCGAGAAGCTGCTCCTCCTGCTGAGGTCAGTCGTCTCCTCCATCTCTACTTTCTTCAGCCCCAGACTGGGATCAGACCATCACGTACCGATGCTGCAGCTCAGAGGAAACAGAATCAGGCCGTCACTTCCGCGGTTCTGAGGGGAGGCAGGGAGCATCCACTTCTCCCATTTCAGCAGGTGCCAGCACCACAGAATGGATATCCCTCACAGGCAGTAGTGTTTCCACCGTCGCTGCAGAGGACATTTCACTGACTAACTCATTTTATGGAAACGTAACAGAAAAACATACGTCGCCTCCAAAAAGGACAAAGAAAATGAGGTTCTGGTGCTGAGCTGAAAGCAGAAGTTAGAAGTCAAAACTCAGATTGGGCTCAAGTTTCTATATGAGCTGAAAACTGTTTTGAAATTGAAAAGAATAATTAACAATAATGAATCCGTCCTACTCAAGGACAGATTTAAGGCTCCTTTATAAAAACACATTCTGCCACCTGTTGCTCTTTTCTGGTGAAGTGATTAAAGTCACGTAAACGTGGGATGGTTTGTTCCCACACGTTCTGGAGATGGCCTTTAGCGGTCTCAAACTTCAGAGGAGATGCAATGAACCTTTATAAAAAGGAGCAGTAGCTCAGGTGGTAGAGCGGGTTGCCTCATGATCGGAGGGTCATGGGTTCGATTCCAGCTCCCGCCAGGGGTATCCTGCTGTTGTGTCCCTGGGCAAGACACTTCACCCAACTTGCCTGTGTTAGTGGTGGTCAGAGGGGCCGACGGCGCCAAATGGCAGCCTCGCCTCTGTCAGACCTCCCCAGGGCGGCTGTGGCTACAAGTAGCTTACCATCACTAGCAGTGTGTGAATGTGAGAGTGTGTGGAAAGCGTCTTTGGGTGTCTAGAAAAGCGCTATACAAGTTCAATGCATTATTATTATTATAAAAAAGAAACTGCATGTTTGACGGAAGAGTGTGGTGGTTAAAGTGGGAGAAGGGCTCTCTCTCTCCCTCCCTCCCTCTCTCCCTCCCAATGTATGACCTTTCCGCAGAATCCCATTTCAAATATTACCTTAAATCAACCCTTATCAAATTCATATCGACTTAAAAAAAACGTTTACTGATTAAATTAACACTGAAATAAGATATAAGGAAGTCTTGACAGTTTAACAGATTCAGTCACATTTCCTTCCACTGGGCATAATAGGTGTTGAAAACACACATGTGGCCTATGATTAGTTTGTATTTTCATCATTTACATTGCAAATGTGACATAAATGTGTGAATTCTTTAATAAAATAACCTATAAATAGATTTTCCTTGATGTTGCATCTCTTTAGGGTTTTTTTGTTTATTGGCTGTGATAAATAAATGGATCCTTTTAGTCCAGAAAGTAAAAGCAGATCATGTTTTCAGGGAGTAACCGATATGTTTGAGTATCTTTCACCGTGGCTGTGAAACTATGACGGTAGGAAAAGTGTGTGTGTGTGTGTGTGTGTGTGATGGGAACAGCTGGCTGAGGGAATGAGTACAGAGGAAGAAGTGATGGATGCGAGTGGAGCTCCTGTGACAGATGAGCTAACAGGTGTTCACCACGGCCCTCTGAGAGACGCTATTTATGAGCCAGAAAAGACAGCCAGATGCAGAGAGAGCACACCACGCCGCCGGCCTCCTCCGTGCTAAAACCCATCATGCACATCTGCACAACTTCACTCAGCAACAAGCAGCACAAGCGGCTTCAAGCGGAGGCAGCTTTAAAACATGTATTTATTATACACACCGACTCACATTTCATCAGTCCGCCTGCACCAAAACCTCCCAACACCTTTCAGCTACTGCTAAATATTTAACATGAGACAGACCCACGAAGCAGCCGACTGTAACTCTTCATCTCCCAGCTGAGGCTCTGCTGTTGTGTTACGACCCCGCAGGCACACACTTATGATCGGCTCTCGTTTAAACAATAATGCATCTGGTTTATTGCAGAGCGGGGAACGCAAACGCTGCAAAAAGGACTTTTCAAAACACAACAATCAGCCACAACATTAAACCCACTGACAGGGGGCGTAAATAACGGGTCATTTCAGAACCATGCAGTTGCTCATCAGGATGCTGCAGTCGAATAACGGGAAATTGTAGAGTAACAAAAAAACTCATCTGAATAAATTCATTTTTAACTTGAGCTTTTTTATTTAAACTCTGGAGTTTTTCATGTCCAGGTAAACAAGGACAATGAACCACAACACTTCCATTAACTTTTACAATTAGTGGGCTTTGAGTAACTGTATGAGGAGCAGATGCACGACAAAATTTGAGCATTCCACTAAAACCTTAAGGAATAGGAGTCACAGCTACAGAAAAGGTAAAAATGCTACTTTCTGCTGCACATTTGTAAATTAAATGTTTAAATATTCCCTGCAAGCATTTAAAAAAAAAAGGCCTTAAGGTGAGAAATCAAGTCCTCTTAAGGTTTATTATGAACAATTCATTTATCACCCATTACAAAAAGCTTTGTTTAGCAACCTCAGTCTGGTGAAACTGATTATTTCTGATCAGGTGAGTAAACTAGAGTGAGGTCTGGATTAAAGAGAATTACTGTCATTTAAAAAGATTTAGCAGCAAATAAATCAGCTCCAGATGTCTTATTTCTAACACACACTCGTCCATGAGTGTAAAGGAGAATAACGGATGGACAAAGAGAGAAAACATGTCGGCCAGTGCAGACATGTCCATTTAAACTGGGATGAGAACAGGAAGCCGTCGGTAAGATCAGCGGGGAAGTATAACATCTTGGTTTTCAGACACGTTGGGTTCAATGACCTGTAGAGGTTACCGTAGAAGACCAGAGAAAGAAGTCTTCATAG